GCTTAATTTTTATAATTATTAACCGATATAATAGATTATTATATTCTTATTGTAACACAAAACATTTTGAACCATGACAATTGATTATTCATTATTCATGATCGAATATCAACGAAAACTTAACACCAAATTGAGATAATCAATTATTTCTTATTCCTAATAGATTAACATAATTGATTTTCATGTTAAAAAAAACAAATTTCAAATGTAAAAATACTCGTGATTATCTTAAAGATTAAAGCATGTTTTACATTTTAATTATACTCGGATAATGAACAATAGGGATCGAAGTTACTATAACAAAAATTGCATGTATTATCAAAATTATCATTAAATTAACATATCATACTGTCATGCTTTACTAACAAAATATTAATCTTAGTTTTATTTGAGAATTTATTTCAATTCTTAACATATAAAAATATTTGTAAAACAATAATATGTTTTAGTTAATTAATTCCATATTATTATTTAAAAGAATCATAATTTGGTTACTAAAAAATCTAAATTGTGACTATTTTCCAATACGAGAAAAGAAAAACACAGTCTAAAATTCGATTCCCAAAAGTCTCAGAACCTACTAACAGCTTATTTTAATGTTATAGTAAATGAGTTATAGTTTTGTTAAAAATAATTGATTTTAATTTTTTTTATTCTTCTTATTTTCATTTCGTTTATATTTTTCTCCAACCTATGTATTTTCTTAAAGGAAATACATATATTAGAACTTTGTACCTTGTAACTTAGCTTATCGATGCTGATTCTTGTCTGTGTACTCATAATCATATCAATAATTCAATTTCTAATAGGAAATATAATCCATATTACATGGTAAAGAACAAATTGAGTAATTAAATAGAAAATAAACAAGATAAAATATATAGGCACAAAATTAAATATATGAAGATGTATATCAAAAGATAACAAAGTGGTGAGTTGAAAATATGGTAAAAAAAGAGTTAAGTGAGTTTAATGAATATGTTGTAAAACTCTTCTTATTTACTAATTTGGTATAACTTTAGTGTCATTATTGGTAAATTCATTAATAAAAAATATAAAGAGATTATTATAATTTGTCTGTAGTGGTATGAAAAGCAGGAAGAAGAAAACAAAAAGAAAAAAAGAAAATGATTGGAAAATAATAAAAAGAAAATAGAGACCCACAAGAAAAAGGGTTGTTAAGATATAGATATAGATTATAGGCAGATAGCTCCACAAACAATGCCGAACACCAAACACGCCCCAACAACAACAACACTCTGCTCCACTTCACTGATAATCGGGAATGCGAAGCTTCTTAACACCACCACCTCTTCCTCAAAACGATGTCGTTTAACTCCAACTCCAAAACCAACCCTAGTTTCTCTCCTCAGCCACCGTTAAATCCCTGGCTCAACTCCTCCGCCGCCGCCGCCGCCGCAGCAGCAGCAGCTGAACCACTCAACCCTATGGTCCTCGCCATGCACCTTTCCGACCCCAAATCCAAAACCCTAATCACCAATTCCACGCTGATACTAATGGACCGAACCCTGCTGCTCTCCGACGAGATTCTCATCAGAATCTTCCAGAAGCTTCCAGATTTGCAGCGAAACTCGAATTCTCTCGTCTGCAAGCGCTGGATGAACCTTCAGGGTCGGTTGGTCCGAACCTTGCGGGTCCTTGACTGGAACTTCGTGCTCTCGGGTCGGTTAACCCACCGCTTCCCGAACCTGAACCACGTCGATTTGGTTCCGGGTTCGTTCGCTTCACCGCAAGACTTAGCCAACATTGTAGTGAGTCACAAGCTGGTTTCGCTGCGCGTGGATTCCACGTGGAAGGTGGAAAATCTGTTACCTAGTGAGGCCGTTGACGCGGGTCTCAGATCGCTCTCGGGCGGCTGCCCCAATCTACGGAAGCTCGAGGTCGCCGGTGCCAGCGAGGCCGGGATTTCGACTGTTGGTTCTGAGTGCACCACGCTGCAGGAGCTCGAGCTGCAGCGGTGCGACGACGCCGTCTTGCGCGGCGTTGCGGCGTGTCGGAATTTGCAGATTTTGAAATTGGTTGGGAGTTTGAAAGGGTTCTATGATTCCGTGGTTTCGGATATTGGGTTCACGATTCTGGCGCAGGGGTGTAGGAGACTGGTGAAGTTGGAGCTTGTTGGGTGTGAGGGGAGTTTCGATGGGGTTAAGGCGATTGGGCAGTGCTGTATGATGTTGGAGGAGTTGGTGATTGTTGATCATAGGATGGATGATGGTTGGCTCGCGGGGCTTTCGTTTTGCGAAAATTTGAAGACTTTGAGGATTCAGTCGTGTAAAGTGATTGATAGAAGCCCTGGATTGGAGGAGCATTTGGGGTGCTGTGAGGCCCTTGAAAGGTTGCATTTGCAGCAGTGCCAGTTAAGGGATAGGAATGGCGTGGGAGCGTTGTTTTCGGTGTGTAGGAATGCTAGGGACATTGTTCTTCAGGATTGCTGGGGGTTGGATAATAGCACCTTGAGTTTGGCTATTGTTTGCAGGTAATGTATTAAATTGGGGATCTTTTTTTATCTTTTCAACTTGGATGCAGTTAGTTAGGTTTTCAATTCTTTTCAATTACAATTTCAGTTTCATTTCGGTAATTAGTGTACTGATGTTTGCATTAAATGCTAACATGTGTAACTGAAGTGGAATTATGATTCTGATCGGAGAACTATGTGAAAAACACTTCAGAAACTGGANTTGCGACTGAACTCTCTTTCCACGTCATTAAAAATTCTGAAACCATTTTCCAACTGGACCAATAGCATTTTGACACCTGTCCCGTGTCAAAATGTTGTCAAATCTTGTTGTTAAAGTATCATTTCCCAAAGAATTAATTACCTATCATACACACATCAAAACACCAGGGCAAAGATTTAGGTTGTGTTTCTTTGAATGGATTGTGTATCGTATAAAATATTGAACGAATAGTAAATAAAAAGGGTCGATCAATATATCTGTTATTGGTCAATATGGTCAAATGATTTTGACCATAATTGGGTCTACAATGCTAATAAGCTGCTTCAAATGATAATTGAGCCAACACTTAAGTGGTTGTTGGGCCAATGATCCAGTAATTAATAAAATAAAATAATATATATATATATATATATATATATATAATAATTATTTATTATTATTAATTCATTATTTTTTTATATTAACATATTTACCAAATCATTCACAAATTCTCATAAATCTCTCTTTTATTTACTTGCAAATTCTTTAAAAAATACAACATAAACTTTATATTTAATTCACCCGTTTAACTTTTTTTAAAATTCATTTTTACGAAAGAAACATAACCTTACAAATTAGATAATAAGATAGGAAGAAATATCACTTGACATGTGATAGATTTATAATCAATGAGAAAAAAAGCTTCACTGCTTAATTTTTATAATTATTAACCGATATAATAGATTATTATATTCTTATTGTAACACAAAACATTTTGAACCATGACAATTGATTATTCATTATTCATGATCGAATATCAACGAAAACTTAACACCAAATTGAGATAATCAATTATTTCTTATTCCTAATAGATTAACATAATTGATTTTCATGTTAAAAAAAAACAAATTTCAAATGTAAAAATACTCGTGATTATCTTAAAGATTAAAGCATGTTTTACATTTTAATTATACTCGGATAATGAACAATAGGGATCGAAGTTACTATAACAAAAATTGCATGTATTATCAAAATTATCATTAAATTAACATATCATACTGTCATGCTTTACTAACAAAATATTAATCTTAGTTTTATTTGAGAATTTATTTCAATTCTTAACATATAAAAATATTTGTAAAACAATAATATGTTTTAGTTAATTAATTCCATATTATTATTTAAAAGAATCATAATTTGGTTACTAAAAAATCTAAATTGTGACTATTTTCCAATACGAGAAAAGAAAAACACAGTCTAAAATTCGATTCCCAAAAGTCTCAGAACCTACTAACAGCTTATTTTAATGTTATAGTAAATGAGTTATAGTTTTGTTAAAAATAATTGATTTTAATTTTTTTTATTCTTCTTATTTTCATTTCGTTTATATTTTTCTCCAACCTATGTATTTTCTTAAAGGAAATACATATATTAGAACTTTGTACCTTGTAACTTAGCTTATCGATGCTGATTCTTGTCTGTGTACTCATAATCATATCAATAATTCAATTTCTAATAGGAAATATAATCCATATTACATGGTAAAGAACAAATTGAGTAATTAAATAGAAAATAAACAAGATAAAATATATAGGCACAAAATTAAATATATGAAGATGTATATCAAAAGATAACAAAGTGGTGAGTTGAAAATATGGTAAAAAAAGAGTTAAGTGAGTTTAATGAATATGTTGTAAAACTCTTCTTATTTACTAATTTGGTATAACTTTAGTGTCATTATTGGTAAATTCATTAATAAAAAATATAAAGAGATTATTATAATTTGTCTGTAGTGGTATGAAAAGCAGGAAGAAGAAAACAAAAAGAAAAAAAGAAAATGATTGGAAAATAATAAAAAGAAAATAGAGACCCACAAGAAAAAGGGTTGTTAAGATATAGATATAGATTATAGGCAGATAGCTCCACAAACAATGCCGAACACCAAACACGCCCCAACAACAACAACACTCTGCTCCACTTCACTGATAATCGGGAATGCGAAGCTTCTTAACACCACCACCTCTTCCTCCAAACGATGTCGTTTGACTCCAACTCCAAAACCAACCCTAGTTTCTCTCCTCAGCCACCGTTAAATCCCTGGCTCAACTCCTCCGCCGCCGCCGCCGCCGCAGCAGCAGCAGCTGAACCACTCAACCCTATGGTCCTCGCCATGCACCTTTCCGACCCCAAATCCAAAACCCTAATCCCCAATTCCACGCTGATACTAATGGACCGAACCCTGCTGCTCTCCGACGAGATTCTCATCAGAATCTTCCAGAAGCTTCCAGATTTGCAGCGAAACTCGAATTCTCTCGTCTGCAAGCGCTGGATGAACCTTCAGGGTCGGTTGGTCCGAACCTTGCGGGTCCTTGACTGGAACTTCGTGCTCTCGGGTCGGTTAACCCACCGCTTCCCGAACCTGAACCACGTCGATTTGGTTCCGGGTTCGTTCGCTTCACCGCAAGACTTAGCCAACATTGTAGTGAGTCACAAGCTGGTTTCGCTGCGCGTGGATTCCACGTGGAAGGTGGAAAATCTGTTACCTAGTGAGGCCGTTGACGCGGGTCTCAGATCGCTCTCGGGCGGCTGCCCCAATCTACGGAAGCTCGAGGTCGCCGGTGCCAGCGAGGCCGGGATTTCGACTGTTGGTTCTGAGTGCACCACGCTGCAGGAGCTCGAGCTGCAGCGGTGCGACGACGCCGTCTTGCGCGGCGTTGCGGCGTGTCGGAATTTGCAGATTTTGAAATTGGTTGGGAGTTTGAAAGGGTTCTATGATTCCGTGGTTTCGGATATTGGGTTCACGATTCTGGCGCAGGGGTGTAGGAGGCTGGTGAAGTTGGAGCTTGTTGGGTGTGAGGGGAGTTTCGATGGGGTTAAGGCGATTGGGCAGTGCTGTATGATGTTGGAGGAGTTGGTGATTGTTGATCATAGGATGGATGATGGTTGGCTCGCGGGGCTTTCGTTTTGCGAAAATTTGAAGACTTTGAGGATTCAGTCGTGTAAAGTGATTGATAGAAGCCCTGGATTGGAGGAGCATTTGGGGTGCTGTGAGGCCCTTGAAAGGTTGCATTTGCAGCAGTGCCAGTTAAGGGATAGGAATGGCGTGGGAGCGTTGTTTTCGGTGTGTAGGAATGCTAGGGACATTGTTCTTCAGGATTGCTGGGGGTTGGATAATAGCACCTTGAGTTTGGCTATTGTTTGCAGGTAATGTATTAAATTGGGGATCTTTTTTTATCTTTTCAACTTGGATGCAGTTAGTTAGGTTTTCAATTCTTTTCAATTACAATTTCAGTTTCATTTCGGTAATTAGTGTACTGATGTTTGCATTAAATGCTAACATGTGTAACTGAAGTGGAATTATGATTCTGATCGGAGAACTATGTGAAAAACACTTCAGAAACTGGATCTAAGTTTTGTCCTTTTTTTTTCTCAGGTTAATTTTTACTTTGAATTTGAATTTGTAAATGTGCAAATGGATTTGGCCCGTGGTAAAATTGGGTTTGCCTTTTTTTAATAAAAGGAAAAAAAATTGTAATATGAGAAAACAAAGACAGGAATCAGGATTTAATTAAAATGCATTGAGCAGTGTAAAGAGTTCTTGTTCTGCAAATGGGTTGCCAGTATTAGGAAGGATGTTGTTAACATTTTGTGAAACATCTTGATTTAAATTTTGAATTATAATAGTTTTTACTGTCATTTAACCATGGATTGTCGTGTATTTGTAAAATTATTGTTTTTTGTAATAATTACTTTAAAATTTATATATTTTGGCTGAATTCTGATAGTATAAGACAACATTAAGCTCATACACACACACACACACACATATATATATATATATATACATACATATATACATACATATATATACATACATATATATATATATAT